TTATAATATGAATATAATATCACGTGAGTTGTGTTATTTTATGACAGACTTATATTCATATTATAATATCACGTGAGTTGTGTTACATGTCTGAGAAGATATATATATCCAAAGAAAATCAATACAATACACAAATTCTCACACACACAAATATTATATTAGTTATTGTTAGTATATATATATATTCATGTATAAAAATTTAAATTTGTTGTTTATGAAAAAAAATATTTGTTATTTTGATATCAAAAGTACTTTATTTATTTATTAATTAAAATGGATATTGAATAGTAAAAAATAGAAGTTCTCAAATCTGAGGACAAAAATTAAAGTTGGACAGAGACATTTTGGGGGAATGACCCGAAAAAGACATACGGCCCACTTTTCCCCCATTTTTCAAACAACGAAGAAATAGTAATATTATTGTACCGTCTCACTTTTGAGTCTTTTTTCTGACCAGTCAACACTCAACACTGTTCGAGCGCCACCTCCGACGACCACTCTGCCGGTAAACTACCCTTCCTCCGCCTCCTAACGGCCTTATTCTTACTCACAGCTCTATGTGTACTGTTTATATCTATGTCAGAATGATTATTATGTGTTTGATAAAATGACATACTACTTTTTTGAATCAAGAACTGTTTTTCAAGTTAGTAGTAGTAGATAGTAGATACAGAGTACTGTTAATAGAATTAAGAAGAAGAGTACCACATCACCTAGAGACGGAGCTAGAAATTTGAGTTTATGGGTTTTAGATTTTAGAAAATGTAGTTTACTGGATTTTTGTTAAGTTATTTATGTATCTTGAGTGGATTTTTGAAAACAAATATAGGGTTTGAGCAGTAGCTGCTTCACACATATGATTACTTTTCTTTTTTTTTGTGTGTGTATAGCCAATAGCTGATGTAACTAAGCTTCAACTTCTTTACCTACTCGAAAGCTGATGGGAATACGGATTATGAGGAAGTGTCATATATGATATGACTTTAGTTAAGAGATGTTGATGACTAAGTAGATGTACATATGAGTTGAAGATAGAGAGCATTGTTCTCTACTTAGTCTCTTATAGGACAACTTGTTGTAACCCTTCAAAATAGGTTTTGTCATACCGTATTGAACCCTCTGGACTTGTTCTGAGGGGTTTTGCTATAGTACCCTTGTTCGCCTGGTAATACTAGATCTTCATTTGTGGTGATACATTTGCTGAATGACAATTGATCAAGGGCTCTTCCTGACAGCAGAGCGAGCTCCTTTCATTCATTTGGGATTGTGTGCTCTTTGGATTATGGTTGTTGGACTTTAATGCTTAGTTTCTATCAATTCAAATAGATTGTCGAAGGAAACAACAAGTGTAAGGTAAAATAGTGTGACTACGAGGGAGCATAATCATGTTCCAGCAGTAACATGTAGCTTCTCTAAAAGGCAGAGAAAAATCTTAAAAACAAAACATGCTAGCTCTCAGGTCCAAATCCCAAGAGCTAGCTGATTTCTATCCATTTGTCGTAATCTTGGTGGACAGACTTACTTGGTACTTATTGATGGTGGGAGCCTGCGAGGTATTATATGGAATTAGTCAAGGTGTGTGCAAGTTGACCCGGACACCAAGGTTATTGAAACAATATATGCATAATTTTACATAGAAAAGTGATGCCAAGGGTTTGCTGCTGTTCGTATTCCTTTCTTTCGTGTTTTATTTGTCGACTAATTCTCTTAGAATGCCAGTGAATATTCTTCTCCCATCTGTCTGGATATTCTTGTGCACTCGAGAAGAAGCATTGAGTAATCCAGAGACCTATTCATGATTAACAGTAAGTTGTAAAACTTTTGAAGGGGAACTACACTTTTTTGTAGTATACTTGTGGATATATAGACTAAAGTTACCAGTTTTAAAAAAAATGGGAGGAGTTATATTTTATGCTTTATTACTAACTTGGGTTCTCTATGTTGGAACTTGACATGATGAGTGCAACTAAGCATGATTTTTTCAGTGATTCTTAAAAAGTTGATCTGTCTCAGAAGTTAGAGTACTCACCTTCGCAGAAACAAGTTATTTCTTTGATCTATTTATTTTAGTTCCTAAGGTAAAAAAACATCATCGTTCAACATTAACCTATTTTTCATTCCTTAGGAGCTTAATGATCAAAGGCTTTCACAAAATGAATCAACTCTCTAATGGCTTCTCATGTCTGAATTTGGATGTCGCCGATAGCCAGGATGACACAAAAACTCTTGGGGAAACTGAGACAGTAAATGGAAGAGGTAACGGCTGGGTAGCAGAATTTGTAAATATGTGTCTGCATCATACTAAGATTTGTAGATCAATAGGTGTGTTGAAAAAGAATAGTTCAATAATTGAATGGTCAATAGGAAAAGGAGGGAATAATAGTGAATCCCCAGTCCTCAGTATTCATTTAGTTCCAGAAACTCAAACATTTAACTATCCCTGCGAGAAAATGACAATTTGTGAACTCTGCAGGTAAAGCCAAGGAAAAAGATGACAACTCAGGAGAGTACGAATTGCCACTTGTATGGATTGACCTTGAGATGACTGGTAATTCTTAGTTCATGACTCGTGAAATTGGTTTGGTTCTTAAAGACACATATTGAAGCACATCAATTAACATACTTTGCACATCCTTAATCACTATTTGCATAAAATATAAATATTGCTATTGGTTATCCTGAAAGATAATATTTCTGTTGTCCTAATGTATATGGGTTCTGCCAATTTTCATTCAATAATTGTACCAGATTCACCTCTCTTTAGATTCTCTTCTTGGATACCAAGGAATCCTTAGGTCCTTAATCCGTAAACTATCATTGTGTCACTAACAACGGATCTTGGATTATATTAGGTGGCACATAATACTTGCTTAGTAGATAGACTTGGAGGATGAGACTCCCTTGAGTATAGAGTTGCCAATACAATTAAATTGAGAATATGGCCACATCTAAACGTAAGCTGGAGAATTGTAGGCCAATCAACTTGATCCAAACATAAGCTGGACAAAAACATTGTCTTGCTCATCTTACGTCCTGATGCATCAAAAAATTGCTGCGTTGTACATCTCCAAAAATACTCTTGAAGATTAAAATTTGGAAGTATAATTTTCTTTTGACATTTCTTCCTTTGTAGGTTTGGATATTGAAGTTGAAAGGATATTGGAGATTGCTTGTATAATTACTGATGGAAACTTGACCAAATCAATTGAGGTAAAATTGTCTCACCTTTCTAACTTATCCCATATTTCTATTCTAGTTTTGCACTCTGTTAACATCATAATGATTGAATATTACAATATAATTCGAAGTTAGGAGGAGAGATCTAAAGTAATGTATATGGTACTTATCATCATAATGCCAATTGGCTGATAAAATTTCTTTCTCCACTTTGCTGAGTTTGCTCTAGGGTGGTAATATTGTTCTCTGTAATTTACAGAATTTTGTCTACCCTTCTCTATCACTAGAATTTTGCCGTGCGTGATCACTTGTGCGTCCTATACATCTCTTCAATATTTTCTCATCCTTCTACCAACAGGAATTCATTTTGTGCTTTCAAAAATAGGGTCCTGATTTAGTTATACATCAAACTAAGGAGTGTCTGGACAATATGGGAGAATGGTGTCAGACCCATCATGCAGCGAGTGGTAAGTGGCTTAATGTGTATGCATGAGGTTCTAAAATTGTCTTATGAGAAATACGACTAGCATTTCATTATAGAGTACATTTTGTTGATTCTAATGTTAGTTCAAAGATGAAACTTAATGTGATTTAGGTTTGACTCAGAAGGTGCTCGAGAGTACCATCACTGAAGAAGAAGCCGAGAAGCAGGTATCATATTCCCTTTAATAAGCCCAAAAAATGTTCTTTAAGCTTGTTTGACAAGTTTTTAAGACAATCCTTGGACAGTATGCTTCTGTCATGGGCAGTATCCTTTGCTTTCAGACTAAGAGGATCATATGATTTATCCAAATGAATTTAGATTTAGATTGTTATCACATACCAAGTTTTTAGCTATATGTTTGATATAGTTGCCATGATTGAGCTGCATGACAATTCTGGATGTAAAAGAACCCACAGACATCCACACCTTTCTTCGCCCTTTTGCCTAATAAAATGGCATGTTATTCACATACATTCCTCATGAGCCCTGGATTCTACAAGTTGGCTTCTTGGATTAATATTCCTTTTTCCCTCGCATCGTGCAGGTTGTTGAATTTGTCAAGAGAAATATAAGGACTTATACACCACTGCTCGCAGGAAATTCAATCTATACGGATCTTCTTTTTCTGAAGGTATGGTGTGTGTTTGTCTGAATCTATAGATACCACTTGGAGGAACGATTCTACAAATAGACGCCTGTGCGTACTATATCATTTAGGTGGTCATTCCACTGAACTTCAGGATTATTCTATACTTCTTTCTATAGTCAGCCTTCCAACGTTGAGGCATATATATAACATCACCAGTTATTTACTCTTCTCTTTCGAATTTATATGTTACAGAAGTTCATGCCAAATTTGGCAAGTTTGTTTTCGCATGTACTTGTTGACGTCAGCAGCGTAAAGGCACTGTGTTTTCGTTGGTATCCAAGAGGTAAAACTATACTGCATTTTTAGGTTTATCTGATCTTTCCAGAGAAATATATCGGTTCGGTTGGGGAGTTTTACATGTTATATGTTGCTGCTACTTTGAATTAGACAACAGGAAGGCTCCTAAAAAGCAAAACAAGCACAGAGCTATGGATGACATTAAGGAGAGTATAGCTGAACTCAAATACTTCAAGGAGCACATATTCAAAGTCTCCAAGTCTAAAAAGTGACAGTGAATGAAACTATCATCTCATGATTATGATTCCCAAGATGTGGTGTTACCTGCCATTGTAAAGTGATTCTGGATTTTAGATGTAAAAAGGTGTTTGATCTAAATTATGAACTCAGCCATGTTTAACAAACTGATTTTGGCTATCATATTGAGTACCATTGTGTCCCTATTTGGCATTGTTGATAACTTTAAGCACACTTGACCTACTATAGGGTTTTTTTACTCATAAAAAACAATCTGTCATTCTCCTATTGGATAATATAAAGAGCCCACCTCAATTAGATTATTTATTATTATTTATCCAAACCAAGGAAATAAACTTCTTCAAGACCAAATTTGTTTTAATAAAAAAATATTGGAATTCTTTATTATTTATTTATTTTTGGAGTCTTAACTCCTCTCCATCTCCTCAATTTTTTACTTTGAATTGAAGACTCATGACATAATAAAAAATAAAAACGGCTACTATTTAATTAATTAAATCAAGATCTAAACATGATATAGATGATTAATATTTTATAAAAAAATTTATTATGTCATTACTCATAACAATATATTATTTTATCCACAAATACATTACACACATTTTTTTCTATTTTCTTTACTTAATTTTTCCTGTGGCTACGACTATCCCTCTGTTTTTTTTGTTTTTTTTTTCATTTTTCTAATGAGTCAATCTTTAAAGTAAAATTGTTTGTAAAACTTTTTCTTTGAAAAATAGTTATCACATATTAGCAAAAAAATTAAGTTAACAATTTTTCCTATTTATTTATTTTAAAAAAAGGAAGATAGTTATTGTGGTTATCTTTATAATATATTGGTTATGTAAGACAAACTTTTTTAAAAAATTTTTAGAGTATATACAAAAAATTACTAGATCTTTTTTTAAAAATAAATTAAAGTCTTGAAGAAGTATATTTATTTTTTATTTAAATATATTATGGGGAAAAAATTAATAGAGATGAGATTTTTATTTTTTCTAATAAAAAAATGACAAATTATAATTAAAAAAAATTATAAAACACCAACTTTGGTTTAAACAGAGGCCTAGAGTTGTGAGGCCACCATTTTAAAACTAGTATGGCCTATGGGTTAGTCTGAACAATCTGTCTGACCCATATTGACAGCTCAATGAAGTATTATTATCATGAATCTAATATTATTAAATTTTATTCTTTGTTATTCAATTAATTATTATATGGAGATATTTTTTCCATAAAATGATATTCTTTATGATTCTTCTGAGATATAATTTTTTTCGTGAATTATGATAAGTTGGTATGACATAAAATATTATATAATTTTCTCAAACATCCATAAATATCTCGTATTCTAGTACACTACCATTTAGTATTGAATCCAATTTCTTAAATTTTAACTCACAATCCCAAAATGTTATTTGCACCTCCACTCTATTTTCAATTTTATAATGTTGGGTATTGTTGGAAAAATCATCAATCTATGACATAAATAACTAATTATCAAAGTTTATTATACATTATTCGCTTCGATTCTAATATAATAACCAAGTTCTTTGAAATTTATAATTTTAAACACGTCATAATATTTAATTCGTGCTATCCATAAAATTTAGTATCCCTAATTATAATGATAGAAATAGAAAACATTAGTCATATTCAAATTTGGCCAATACACATCCATAGCCTTTATTCATTTTTCTTTTTCGCGTTATCAAAAGCTAGAGTTAGAAAAATAGTTTTTTGTGTGTGATTTATTTTGAAATAAACGTAAAGTTAAATATTATATAATGTAATATTATTTTAACTTACAATCTTAATTTTTTGAAAAATTAAATTAGTAACTACCTTTATAAACCTAATAAAAGGAGAAACACACATTAACATCATTTCATGACAATGAAATTAATATAACACATGAAACATCATTCATGCAAACCACGTCGTTGGGAAAATATAGTTTTTTTTTGGCAATTTTCTTCCAAACTCTTCATCTCTTTTTTCTTGATCATCAATCATTTCATAATCACTCCCCCAATTTATTGTGGGTGTGATTTCATTTTTCTCTGTTTCATTTCATTAATTAATTTTATCATATTTGCCTAATCCATGAAATAATTTACCAAAACTTAAACAGGAGAAAATAATAATAATAATATATGGAGGGAGGTGGAGAGGAAGAAGGGTCATTGGAATATACACCAACATGGGTGGTTGCTGCTGTATGCACAGTCATTGTTTCTATTTCTCTTCTTGTTGAACGTCTCATCCATTACGCTGGCAAGGTATATATATATATATATATATATTTTTTTTTTTTTCTGTTCTTTAAAAAAATTATAATTATTTATCATATGAATGTGCAATATGGTTATATAAAAGATTTTCTCGAAAATGCAGGATAAGATTTTGTACTTGTAATGTGCGTAGCTGAAGCTTAGTGCACGTAGTTTTTTTTTTCTTAAAAGAGTTTATTGGTATTTCTATGAAAACAACAAATAAATAACATGCATTTTATTGTCATGTTTGAATCTGTCTATTGTTAAGAAATCAATGTCTTTATGAAATATAATGTCTTTGTTTTCTCTCTATTTCTGGATGACAGTTGGTTTGGAGGATGGTTATCCACCTGGGATCGATCCTTCTCAATGACTTCTGAGTTGAATTTGTCGCATAGGACAAGCCTGATACGGTTTTTTACATATAGTGTTCATCACAAGGGCAGAGAGAAAAAAAAAATTGATTTTCAACATTTGACTAAGATTCCATCATTTTATTTTTCCTTTTCAATTTCGCCATGTTATGAAACGGTTTACAAGTGGAATGGTATAAGGAATTCATATAGCGGATCTGAACTTGTTATTATTGATCGTTGTTGGTTTGTTCAAGTTTCATTATTTTATTATAGATGCAACCAATACGTAGCTTAGCAACATAGAGTGAAAGGTGGTCCGTTAAACATACTTCATAGGAAAATCATACTATATTAATTAGGTATATAGGTCAATTATTTTCATACATGTATATGTATATATATGTATTGAACTTTGAACATTCTTAACGAAATCTCTGGCTCTGCTACTGGTTGCAGCGTCTGAAGAAGAAGAAACAAAAGCATCTGTATGAAGCCCTACAGAAAGTTAAAGAAGGTTCAAAAATATACAACATTGATCAATTAAGGTTGTATTTATATATGAACTATTTTGTGAATGTGTATTATGTGCAGAGTTGATGCTGTTGGGGTTTATTTCTCTGCTGTTAACAGTATTTCAAAGTCGTATTGTTGAAATCTGTGTGCCTCCTCATGTTGTAACACACTTGCTTCCCTGTGCGTTACCGTTGGAGCATACTTCATTTTCACCTCCAACTCCAACTCCAACTCTAACTCCACCTCCGCCTCACAAAGAGCCTCAGGTTAACAATCAGGCGGTTCACTATCATGCTGGTCCTCACCATCAACGGCATTTGCTTGAAGAAGAAACAATGTCAGCTGAGGGTTACTGCCGTCATAAAGTACTTAAGTCATTGCTCTTAACTTCCAGCTATATACTTTGTGTTGGCGATGTTCTGTTATATCTGTTTCTTGTTAGTTTGCAAGTTACGAGTTTGGCAGAATCCAGTAACTTTGGCTGCACTTTTTTCCTTTTATGTTTGACAATATGACTTCAAACATTGGTGTTTACTTCTTATATAATACTTTCCGTTGTTTTTACAGAACAAGGTTCCGTTACTATCTCTTGAGGCGTTGCATCACCTTCATGTTTTTATATTTGTCCTAGCTATTGTGCATGTGACATTCTCTGTTTTGACTATTGTATTTGGAGGAGCAAAGGTGAGAGTTACTAAGCTTTTCTGCTTGAGTTTCTTTTACTTTGTCTTTCGGGCTGATTCATTGTTTGTGAATGTTTTAATAATGGCCTAGATACGTCAATGGAAGCAATGGGAGGATGCAATCGTAAAAGATGATTATGAATCCGAAGATGGTATGACTAAATAGGAAAGGAATTAAGTAAACGGTTGAAATGTAAAGCTACTAGTAATATTGGTATTCCATTTTGCAGCTCATTTGAAGCCAACAGTTACTCATGTCTTTGAACATGATTTCATCAGGAATCGGTTTCAGGGTATGGGTACACAATCAGCCATTTTGGGTTGGGTGGTAAGCACCCCCATTCTCCGCGAACAATATGGAATCTTTGTATTTCCATATGTGCCAAAAAACAAAAAAACTTCTGTTGTGTGATTGTTTTGACATATGTTCTCAAATGACTCGCGATAGACTCATATGATCACCTTCTTTCTCTGATTCGTATTGGTATTAATCAACTAACTTACTGTATTTTGGTGAAAATTTGCAGCGTTCTTTCTTCAAGCAATTTTATGCTTCTGTCAACGAATCAGACTACAGAGCGCTTCGTTTGGGATTCATTATGGTAACTATGTTCATTTGCCATAGTTGTTAGATAGAAACTGTTTTACAATGTAGTGATTTTTACTTGGCTTATACATAATATTAGTAAAAGCATATTCCTTGTGTAGACACATTGCAAGGGAAATCCAAGATTCAATTTTCATAGGTACATGATACGTGCACTGGAAGACGATTTTAGGACAGTTGTTGGTATCAGGCAAGTGATAGAATGATGCTAAAGCTCTTAGAATGTAGTTTCTCACTGCTGGTTCTTCAAATGAACTTGTCGCTCTTTGTTTTTTGTTTGTTTTGCAGTTGGTATCTCTGGATATTCGTAATCCTCTTCTTGTTGCTTAACATTAACGGTATATCCCAGCTCAAACTTGTTCACCTTGCCACACTGCTACGATTTCATGCTACAGCCTACTACAATGCTATTGTGCTTTGTGCTTTCGTTTAGAGGATAGTTTCGTTTATTGTGATGTGAAGATTGATACATCACTGTGCTTGTGCAGGTTGGCATACATATTTCTGGATTGCTTTCTTTCCTTTTATTGTGAGTGACCCCGTCATGAATTTCACTCGTATAGTTTTCATTCTTTCAGTCTCCTATCTATGAATTAACGTTCAGCACACGATCACGAGAGCTATCAATTTAGGCTCTTTTTTTTGTTAATAAAAATAGTTCAAGGGTAATCTGCACTGCTACTCTACTCATATTCAAGTCATAATAAAATGGTAGCCAACATGATCAAGGCTTAAAAGCAGCAGGAAGCTAAGTTGATTTTATGTTGCCTTTTTGGTTCTTCATTTTTTCAGCTTCTGCTCTCTGTGGGAACAAAGTTGGAGCATGTGATTCTACAGTTAGCTCATGAAATTGCTGAGAAACATGTAGCTATAGAAGGCGAATTGGTTGTAACACCATCTGATAATCACTTTTGGTTCGATAACCCTCAAATCATCCTCCTCTTGATACATTTTATTCTCTTCCAAAATGCTTTTGAAATAGCATTTTTCTTCTGGATTTTGGTAAGTCATTAATCAACACCATTCTAATTCAGTGTTCAATACAATTTTTTCAATGTTCCTTTCCTAAATTTCATGTTTTTTTAAAAATAATCTTTGTAGTTCCAATATGGCTTTCACTCCTGCATTATGGGAAAATATGTCTTTGTGATTCCACGGCTCGTCATAGGGTAGAGTTCACTACTCCTTCCTCTATTCATAACTTCATATATATATATATATACGGTGTGATTTTTCAGCGAAAGGAATTCAAATAAACCAACCCCCTTATTGCAAATTTCTTGACCCTTAACATTCATATATGAAGGTGGTTTTCATCTTTTTCCAGGGTAATCATTCAAGTTTTATGCAGCTATAGTACACTGCCACTTTATGCTCTAGTTACACAGGTGAGTTTTTACTCAAACCAATCGATGAAACTTAAACCTGAATGTCCTTCTCCTAATATTGTTTTTACATGAAATTATAGATGGGGAGTCATTATAAGAAATCGATGTTCGATAATCATGTTCAAACATGTCTTGTGGAATGGGCTGAGAAGGTGAAAAAGAAGAAGGGACATAAGTATGGTAGAGACGGATCTACCCGTTCAAATGACGGTTCTGTTGTTGCAGCATCACTGTCTGTAAATGACCACAAAGATCTCCCTCAAAATGGGGTTTAGCTAACATTTTGTTCAATGCCATTTGAACAATATTTTGTAAAAGTTAGGTATGATCCAGTATACCAGTTACTGAATATATATATGTATGATAAGAGCGCCAAAAAGCTTTAGATTTTTACTGTGCAAGATGAACTGAAATGGAGAATGATGGTTGGTGGAATTCAAAACGTTGATCTTGTTTGGGACCGAGGCATGATTATCTTAGGCTATTGCTGAGGTGAAAGGGGGTTTTGTATATGCGTTCCCTTGACGGTTTGATGTAAAATTAACTGGATATATTAAGTTTTACTTGATATAAGTAAAATGTACACCATTTGCCAACTTTGGTTTGTATTTCTCAATGCTGTTTTCGCAGTTGAAGAGGGTTCTTCCCTCTTTATGTTATTAGTGCAGCATACGCCTATGAGCGTTATCTAACTTCAATGAAGTGAGCGAAAATCATAGAAGACCAGAGCGCAAAATTCTATCAGACTTAAAAAAAAACAAAAAAAAATGGGTACAGTTACTCTCCGCCTGCCTAAACTTGATGGACAGAGTTATTGAATGGTGTTCTAATGCTAGTGGGGAGATAATACGTACCTGGTGAGGAAATAGTCAAAAGTTCACACAAGCTAGCCCCAACACCACCATAACCTTTTTTTTTTTTGAAAGCGTAAAAAATATAAAAACAGAAAAATTGTGGGAAGGTACAGAATTACAATTTTTAAATGATGCACAAGTAGAGTTTTTTCAACAGGTTAAATACGTAGTAGTTATTCAGGATTGATGACGGCTGATAACAGGTATTTAACATTGCATTGCAAATAATTCTGAAACTCCTTAGTTTTTGACCACTTGATGGATAGCATTTAGGCATCGAAATTGACATGTGTATTGAGCATAGCCATCTGAAGTTTGCTTAGAAAATCCTTCTGGCCAGTAGAAGATTCAGCTCCTGCTTGTGACATCAACTGGAGACCAAAGATAAATGATCAGTATTTATCGAAAGTTGACTCTGGGGAAGGGAGGGGGGAGAGAATAAGCAGACAGCCTCTTACTTGATGTGGAAGAAAAGGATGCCCCCAAGGTGATCTTTTTGTGTACATTACAGGCCTTTCTGGGTAAATAGAACGACAGCCAAATTAGTTGTGATCAGAAGAGTACAACAATAATACTTCAATCACAAGAAAGTTGCAACTGCATGAACCCTTACTGTTCATTTTTGCTCTATTTAATCTCATCTTCATCCAATATTACACATACAACTACATACCCAGTGTGATCCCACATGTGGGGTCTGAGGAGGATAGGATATACACAGACCTTACCCCTACCTTTGTAGGACAATCCAATACTGTATATGACGGAAAAAAAATTAAAAACATGTAGATGTGTCTATTGTTATTTTATTTGAAAACATATCCATTATTACTACTAGAAGTGAGATTTATTTATGCTCAATGTCTCCTAGAAATTCTTTCTGACCTAAGCCGCACAGTGATCAAAGCTTAGTTAGTAATTTACGACTAAGCTAAAGACAATGGACACATTAAACAGATAATAACAAATTCAATACTTTCTGCACTCCTTTTCAACACCAGAGAACTACAATGCAGTTTTCATTTCCTACAATTCCTTTTGTTGCTCTAAAGCCTATTTTAGGCTCAAGGACATCGACGATTGGCAATACCATATAAGATGATAAAAGCTAAATTAATCCAGGCAGGCCATTCAAACTTGGCATTACTACCCAGTCAGAATGAAGTTAGTACACATAAGAACTCAATCCCAGAAAGGACACTTGAAGCATGCTTTAGAAGTATTTAACATTTTTTCTTTTTGGGATGAATGAGGGTCAATTTTATTATTTTTATTAGAAGTGTGAGCATTTAGGTCTCAGGAATCAGGATAACCAGGAGGTGGATGATATGATGCAAAACAAAAACGCCGACACATTCCAGGCTTAGAACTGTTCAACATACCCATCCAGAAGAATATATGGTGTTACCTTCAAAAGAAGCACCAGATAGATGAATTATGCAGTGAATGTATATGTTCACAAAATTTACATTTCCAACACAAATTGAAATGTGAAACATGGCAAAGAAGTATCCCAAATAACTTCTCTTACATAGCAACTCAAGGAAGAAACAGAGCAATTGATTAGTAGAGAGGCACCCTAACTTACCACGAGAATCTTCTGATAAATTATTATGAGCATTCAGAGCAGCTGCCCAGCCTATAAAAAAAAGATGAAGTTTCATGATAATTCTCACTTGTGACTTTTTGATCATAGTAACTAGGTGCATCATACAATGTTAATGCACAAGACTGGAAGCTGGTAACCAAATTATTAATCATAATATGGGAGAACTGTAAAGGATATGGAAGGTATGACAATGTAATCGAGAACGAAGTAATTAAATAGATGACGGAATTGATAACATTAGGAGCTCATGATTTGATAAAAAAAAACATACGGTCATTTAGTAGCTGAAAAGCTTCGCTTGTACAACATCCTTGTAGCGGTATTAACTTTGTTGGAGGATAATCATTTACTCGATTGACTCCAGCATCAGATACAGACTTAGCTGCTCTCATTTGGTTCTTCTCTCCATCACTAGCATAGCTGCTAGCTCTTTCAAGTCGATCTGTAAACTAAACCATTAGAGAAAGGTCGATCTAGATTCCTAGTATAGAAGACAAAATCCAGCCAAAAGTCCATAGGCATAGAACAAAAGTTATCTATTTCTTTGAAACATACATCACATAAAACTAGTCGACCAGTTGAGAGTATCACACACTTCAAAGGTCTTATTCTATGTCAAAAGGTCAACTCAGATTTTAGGAAGTATTTATCCTCCCCTGTGTTTTCACAGGGGTTGAACAGTGGCTTAGTTTGTAGATGTCTACCATGTATAACCTTAAAGAAGGGTCAATTCTGCTAGTTGATCACAGATAAATACACGTGATACCACAGCGTCCCTAGCAAAAAACTTATAAAATGTGCCTGAGAGCATTTTCCGAGTCTAGCTTAAAAGATCACAAGGATAGCTTCCACTTAATGGAAGCTTTTATGAAAACAATCTTTACAACTCTCATTCCCAACTAGAGTTAGCTCATCTAATCGGAAATTCAACTTACATCCCAGCTTCAAGACTTCCCACTTTCAAACTTGTCGCAATTGACATAGGCAAGATCTGATGTATTATGACGATTGAATTACACAATCAGATTTTAGTATGCGTGATCACGGATCACTATTTAATTACACAATCAGATTTTAGCAGCTTACTTATGTTTATCTTTTAAGTGAGATTAGCCTTGGTAATACCAGTACATTCCATGTAAATTTAAGGCATTAAGCTGAACATAATCTCAATTAATTAACATAATCTATCATTATCAAAACCAGTTACCTCCAGATTTTCGCCTGCCGAGTGAACGATTCCTGATACAAAGGACAATATCACAATAAATCAATTCAATAAAACACATCCAAATTCGGCAATTCAATAAAATATGTCCAGATTTAGAAAGAGCGATTCGTATGATAAGATCATTCTGATACCGCTGATTGGGAGGGGCATAACGCTTGACGGTGACGGTGTTGTCGGTGGCTGATGAGTCTGCAGCAGGATGTTCCGGCATCTTATCTCCTCTCGCTTGGTATTCAACAAGAGCCACGCACCGCCGCCACTTATTTCCTGTGAACTTTCCGGTGATATTTCTTCAGCTACGCATCAGAGAACGTGTGTTGAGTCCATGCTGAGGGTTTTGATCGAACGATTGTGATATTTTGCTTGGTTTTTAAGAATGAAAGTCACGCGCTTCAGATAGAGTGAACATACTCTTTCAATTTCAACTTTCATCCCCCAACTTTTCAAGAATTTTCAAGGAAAGCCCGTCAAGTTCTATTATTTCTCTTTGCCGGACCTTAATCAAATGAACTGAAACTCTCAACTTGTGTTCTGGTAAATCGAGTTTTTGGAAAACAACCTCTTTAAATTAAATTCTAAAATTAAATTATATTCTTAAAGTATCATTTTTAGTATAATATATTCTTCAAACATTTAAAAGGAAACCTTTTTCATCATTCTATTAGATATTGTTAAAAAAATAAGGGATTCTACAAAAACATGACCAATTCACTTGACCATCAACAAAGTTTGCCGCTATAATTTCATTACTTGCTATAAGAAGTTCCTGAAAAAAAATTTAAAAATTTTAGACACTATTGCTTACCGAAACAAAAAATATTTGAAAGGTGTGAGTATACATGACCTGTTCTTTTTCTCATTTACTAACAGAAAGAAGTTAGAGCTTAATTATCTTTACCTTTTCCATAGGCAAACTGTATTTAGACTGATAAATTTTTTGGCCAATCTGATATTGAAGTGATCAAAATATTGATTACGTTTTGTATTTGAGTTTAATTCTAGCATATTCAGTTGAGAAGAAATATATTTCAATTAATAAAAAATAAAATTAAAAAATATTTCAACTAATAATATTTTTAATATCAGATTACATGAAAAGAAAATGTCAAATTAAAAGATTTTGTATAATGCAAAACTCGATTACCACAAAAATCCACTATTAGTATTTTTGGCATATCTAAGGATTACGAATTACGAATGGATGACTTAATTTTTGTGAGATTTATTAGTTTTTTAATAAATTCAAGAAGAAGGGTGAATATTGTTCACTTTTAAATACTTTTGAAAGATATTTTCTATTAAGAATGATATTTTAAGAATGTGATTTAAACTTGAGCTATATTTTAAAAATATTTTTGACCAAAAAGTCGACGTAAATCAATGAAAATTTTGATTTGATTTCGTTTTTTATTCTAATCATAATAGACTGACTTATTCAGGTTTGATCCTTGTTTGAGAAGAAGAACGAATGCAGAGATTTGGTCTTCGTCAATTATTGTAAAACATTGAGCAAAATTTCATGGAAAAGGAATTTAAGTAAAAGGCATTACGAGAGTCCAAAATCAGTGACAAAACTCAACTGCAGAAATAAAACACAGCATCACATGGTACTAAATAAAATTCACCTTTTCACATCGTGCAAAAATATCATTCTGATTTACTCAATACAACATCAGTTTAAAAAATATTCTTCTCATGCAGAAACAGAAGACTTTAGACATAAATGAATAGGGAAAATACATTTTGTATAACTTCACAACTCAATCATACAATGCTCCTTTCGTGCTGCACATAATGAAAAATGCCTGACATTTTTCCCAGAAACCAGTCAAATCAAGAGCCATGCACCACCAATGTCTTCGGGCACTGACGTTAATTTACAGCAACAGAGTAATATATTGCACTTGACCATCACTGCTACA